ATCCTCAACCTATCCGCTTGGAACAGCAGGGCAATCTTCGGCTCCCTGCCGGAGTTCACCATTGACTCAGATGTGAGCCTCCATGGCTGGGGGGCTCATGGTGAGGGTGTGGCGACAGGGGGTCGCTGGTCGGAATCGGAATCCCGACTCCACATCAACGCATTGGAACTCTTGGCGGGCTCCTTCGCGATCCGCAGCTTCGCGAGGGACTGGGCTCATACATGCATCCGCCTCCGCATGGACAATGTCTCCGCGGTGAGGTATGTCTACCACTTGGGCGGTACTCAGTCTGCGGTTCTGGCAAGATTGGCGAAAGACTTTTGGGACTTTTGCTTAGACCGGAACCTGGTAGTCCAAGTGGAGTACCTACCAGGACTACACAACGTCCAGGCGGACTGGGGTTCACGATATCTATCGGTCGCCAGCGACTGGAAATTGGACACGAACGTGTTCTCCAGTTTATCGTCTCTCTGGGGCCCTTTTTTTAGACCTATTCGCTTCCCGGCTCAACACCCAACTCCCACTGTTCTTCAGCTGGCGGCCGGACCCGGCGGCGGAGGCAGTGGACGCCTTCCTGCAGGACTGGAGCGGAGGCCGCCTATACGCCTTCCCCCCCGTTCTCCATGATCCCTCGCACCCTTGTTCACTCCTACAGACACCGAGCCGAGCTGGTCCTAGTGACCCCATTCTGGGAAACGCAATCGTGGTTCCTCCAGCTTCTCGGGATGACAGTAGATTATCCCAGCTGTTGCCATCCTCCCAGGAACTTCTACTGGACCCGTTGGGGTGTTGCCACCCCCTCCTGTTGGAGAGTTCCCTCCCGCTCCTGGCGTGGTGGATTTCAGGGGACCCTGGGAGGTCCAGGGAGTTTCGGACACAACTAGACGCCTGCTGGCGGAGGCATGGGCTCCCGGCAGTAGACTGGCATATGGGTCAGCTTGGCGAGATTGGGCTGGCTGGTGCCTGGCTAGGGACATGGATCCTGTTTCAGCCCCTGTAACTACGGTCCTACAATTCCTGACTTCCCACTTTGAAGCAGTTAAGGCCTACAGGACCATCAACCTATATCGGTCAGCCATTTCCGCAACGCAAGGGTCCCCTGGTGTGTCAGTTTGGGTCTATCTGGTTCTTTCACTGCAGATGTTGGTGGGGCCTTGAACTCTCTGGCCTTGATGTTAGTCTCAAGTACTGGTTTAACCCCTGAGCTTATGCTCATTATGTTTTCACAGACTAAACCGATCCTGCAGAGTATCTGGCTTCAACATGTATGGACCTTTCCCTGCGAATGAAGTTTGGTTGGAAGTTATCCAGTTATACTTCCCTGTTTATTGACATGATGATCCTCCTCTTGGCTTGCAGTTTATACGTCTTTTGGCTTCTCTCTGACTATATTGCTGTTCCTGTTATGGACTTTCTGTATAGTGTCGCATCTTCAGAAAGAGGGAAATGGAAGGGTAGTGCTGCCTATTATACTGGGACCTGTGCAGGGAGGGGCCTATGCTACTGTATGTTCACTGTTTTTTCATTCTGTTTGTATCCTTTGCTGCTATTGGTGAACAGTAAAGAAAGGGATATGCAATACTCACCTCTGTGTCTTTAATAAAATCATGACTTTTCGTCATGTAATAGCAAAATCATGCAATTAACATGCATAATAAAGTCTGCGGTACACTGTATATGGCAAGAGACTGGAATGGAGATTCCTTGATATAAACCAAACAATGTATTTTTCCACAATTTATACAAATGAAGGAAAATAGGCGACACCTAAAAGAAAAAAAAAAGAAAAAACTACAAACAAAACAAAAATTACAGCTATGACATCACAGGTTATAAATCACTGTTTAAGAAACATGACCTTAAGTCTCAGAAGGTTGGCATATATCTCACAAACAAGTTAAATACATTTTATTATCAACTTACCTTTCCTTCATCCATTGGGTTATCACTAATGTGGACAACTAGCCCCGGATGGGATTTGGATGAGCTGAAAAATAAAAACACAAAATAATTTATCCTTATTTTTTATTTAATCAAATGAAAACAAGTATTTACATTTGTACTACCTATACCTGACCTGAATTTGGACAGAGAATGGAATGCAGAGGAGGAACTGCTTCAAATAGTAGGATGGGGAGATAGGTTTGGGTCGACCTATGCCACGGTGTATAGGTTTGGGCTAAAAAAAAAAAAAAATCTTAAAATTTCCCATGCATGTATTTCAGAATGGTAGTGGGGGGGAAGAGGCCACAGAGGGCCCTTAAAGTGTGTGACTCTGAATTTCAGCATATAAAGTAATATTTTTAGAGTCAAATCTTAGGCATACTTGTGAGTCTGATACATCCTTAGGGTTTCAGCTGTCTATGAAGTTCCAATAAAGTAATACTATGAGTGATGCACGATGCCTTTGAATAATACTGTTTGTATAACGTATTAACATTCATTCATACATCTCTGATACTAGAGCATTACGGATTGACAAAGTGACAAATGACGAAACACAAGCAGATATACATTACAAGAACATCTGCCAGTAATGCAGTTTTATAGAATGCGATTCAAAGAATGTAATGTTTATGTAAAATTGCGTATCTCTCACTTATAAGCAATAGTATGCTTTTAGGTGCATGAAATCTGTATGAAATACTTCACTCTCAATGTATAAATGTGGATGACAGTGTCCCTTTAAATAGTCCCCTTGATTTATTTTTATTACATTAATGTCTTTCATAAAATACATATTTGTAATAAAGGTGCTCCTTGCTGCTTTTAACCGATACACACGGACCGTGGAGAGGAATCTATAGCCCCCCAGCACCATCGAGGTAGGCACCCTTTAAGCTCATCTAATACTTCAATTCTGTGAGTGCATTCATTTACAGCGCACATTTCCTTTTATTACTACATTACACTATATTGTGTTTTAGGTTTTATTTTTTTAGATTTAACAGTCGTATCCCATTTATTTTTTTGCTGTCTATATTCTGATTGGTTTGAGGCATCTGGAAGGAGGTCTTAAGGGAGGCTTTCCTATTTTATTATTAGATAAGTATATTTCATACCTATCATACACTATACACACGGTTATATTGTAGTGATAGTATAATATCTAGAGCTTAGCCTGTAAAGGGAACAGAAAAGAGATAAGCGGTACCTCAATCATCCAGGATAAATCTCAATAGTCTACCAAACCAATCTAATCTACCCACAAGGAAAGGATAAGATCAGAACTGACATTAAAGGGACACTATAGTCACCTGAACAACTTCAGCTTAATGAGGTTGTTCAGGTGAGAACTATAGCTCCCTGCAGCCTGTCTCATGTAAACACTGTATTTTCTGAGAAAATACAGTGTTTACATTGAAAGCTAGGAACACCTCCAGTTGCAGTCACTCAGAGTGAACCAGAGGGACTTGGAGTTGATAGAGGCATAATATGCCTCCATCCACTCAGATCTGCTGTCAGCAGAGCAGAGGGCAGCACTGTGCACAGCATCCTGTGATCCAGTATCTCCTCCCTCTGCATGCAGACACTGAACTTTCCTCAAATAGATTCATTGATTCAATTCATTTCTGAGAATGAGGAGATGCTGATTGGCCAGGGCTGTGTTTGAATCATGCTGGCTCTGCCCCTGATCTGCCTCTTTGTCAGACTCAGCCAATCCTTTGGGGAAGCACTGTGATTGGATCAGGCTACCACATGTCAGTAGACTGCTTGTTTTTCTGAGTCAAACAGCATGCAGATTTACAGGTTCTGGGTTGAATACAGTAAGAATTTGCTATATTTATGGAGGCATGAGGGGCCAAGGGGGGCTAGATGGTGTTGTTAACACTATAGGGTCAGGAATACATGTTTGTGTTCCTGACCCTATAGTGATCCTTTAAAAAAATCACATCAGTTAAAGGATCACTACAGTGTCAGGAAAACAAATCGGTTTTCCTGACACAATAGTACCCTGAGGGTGCCCCCGCCCTCAGAGTCCCCCTCCTGTGGTGCTGAAGCGATTAAAATCCCTTCAGTTACTCACCTTATTCCACCGCCGGGCTCCCTTACCTCTCCTCCCCCGCCGACGTCAGCTCCCCCGTCTGACGTCAGCGGAGTGGAATGCGCATGCACGGCAATGCCGCGTGCGCATTCAAAATGTCCATAGGAAAGCATTGACGCTCTGCGTGTTGGAGGCATAATATGCCTCTAGCGTTGCAGATGCGCCTCTAGTGGCTGTCCGGAAAACAGCCACTAGAGGCTGGCTTAACCCCAAATGTAAACATAGCAGTTTCTCTGAAACTGCTATGTTTATAGCAGGCAGGGTTAACCCTAGAGTGACCTGGCACCCAGACCACTTCATTGAGCTGAAGTGGTCTGGGTGACTAAAGTGTCCCTTTAACCATGCACAAAGTAAAAAGGTGAAACCGTTTAAAAAAAAAAAATTTTTAAAATCAATGCCCAATGCACTTTTTCGGTGCAGACGGAAACACGTCTAAGTCAGGTGCTCTGACCCAATTAAATTTTTCTGTTTGTCAATAACTACTGCAAGCACTGGGTAATTTTATCATATTTATACATGTACTGTGTGAATATATTTATGTATGTGTTAAGATGCATCATAAGACCGCTTTAATATGATTATATGTAGAACGGCATTCTTGATGGGTGCAATGTGGGTACTGCTGATGAACACCTAAACGCATATTTGGGAACTCTTTAAATGGATTGAGAGACATTCCAAATTGTTAAGCTTTTAATTAATATTTTATATGCATACTCCTAAAACGCAGCAAGCAAATGAGGTGTCTGTATTCAAGCCTGACTTAATGAGAATTTCTATAAAATCCAGATGATTTGTTTAAGTGCTATAGACACACAAGACATTTAGAAAGAAGTACAAAGTTAAAGTGCATACATCGAATGTAGCACGAGGTTGATGAACTATTTGATCTATGTGCAACTTTCCGCATCATACCTTCACTAACAGAGAAGAAAAACATCAGACCAATATATATTTTACAAATATGCAATATATCATTGTGTACACCTCCCCATGTGTACCTCCCCTCACTGATATATTGTATATGTGACTTGTTTAGGGAGGTGTACACACTGATATTTTGTATATGTGATTTGTTCTCTGTGTTTGGTGTATATGGGAAGCACCTTTATATCAGTTACACTACCCGCACAGTATCTCAGCTACGTACCAAACTGACACCAAGATTGAAGCGCCTACACACTATTGACTTTTTACAATATATATTTTAATCTGTAAAGTAACATTCATTTCGTACACAAGTCAATGGAGTACATTTGAAAACAGTTGGGGTGGGGTACCTCAGGGATCTGTACTTGGACCCAATCTCTGAAATATCTTTATTAAAGGGACACTGTAGACACCCAGACCACTTCAGCCATTATCGCGGTGCATACAGCACTGATGCCGGAGTTGGAACAGGACGTCACTCCGGCTCCACTAAGACGCGTGCCTTGCCGCCCGCATGCCAGCTGCTCAGCCCAACAGCCCCCCTGGACCACAGGGACTGCATGCCAGACACTCAGTCCAGCAGCCCCACTAGACCATAGGGACTGCACGCTAGACGCTTAGCCAAGCAGCCCCACTGGACCTCAGGGACTGCACGCCAGACGCTCAGCCCAGCAACCCCACTAGACCCCAAGAAAATAGAGACTTCAGTGAAATCAAGTGAAATGTAAAAAAATAAAATAAATTGTAAATTAATTATGTGTGTGTCCGTTAAGGAGTTTGGATATGTGTTTGTCAGTGAGAGTGTGTGTATGTTTGCTGGTGAGAGTGTATATGTGTTTGTATGTGTGTCTGTCAAAGAGTATATGTGTTTGTCAGTGAGTGTGTGTGTATCTGTGTGTCAAGGTTTGTGTATGTGTCACTGTGTGTATCAGTGTGTTGTATGTGCCAGTGTATATCAGTGTGTTTGTATGTGTGTATCTGAGTGTCAGTCAGTGTGTGTATGACACTGTGTGTATGTGTCACTTTGTGCATCTGAGTGTGTGTCTGTATGTCAGTGTGTGTAACTATGTGCCACTATGTGCCAGTGTGTGTGTGTCTGTGTGTCAGATACATACACAAACGCACACAGCGATACACACACCTTGACACACAGATACATGTGAACTGCAATGTTTACATCACAGTTCTAAGTCTGCCCCCAGTGGCTGTCTACCACACAGCCACTGGGGGCGCTTACAGAATACCAACAGACTTTTGGTCCATTATCGGATGCTGGACATCCACCATCAGATTTTCCCCATAGGAAAACATTGAATAATGCTTTCCTATGGGGAGGTCTAAGGTGCACGGCCATTGCAGCGCATGAGGTCTCCCCCGCCGGCAGACGTCAGTGGGGGTTGCGTGGACGGAGCCACACCCAGCGCCAAGGGACATCGGCGCTGGATTCAGGTAAGTGGCTGAAGGGGTTTTAACCCCTTCAGCCTCGCGGGAGGAGGGCACTCCAGGAGCCTATAGTGCCAGGAAAACGGGTTTGTTTTCATTGCACTATAGGGTCCCTTTAAGCATGTGTGGGATAGGCAAAAGGCTATCCCAGATATAAGAGACTAATGGAAGTATTTAGAAAATTGGGCAGACTACATAAGCCGAAAGTTTCTAAGTGTAACGGACTTAAAGTGACACTATAGTCACCAGAACAATTACAGCTTATTGTACTTGTTTTGGTGAGTATAGTCCTTGCAGGCTTTTTAATGCCAACACTGCATTCTCAGAGAAAAATCAGGGTTTACATTACAGACTAGGGACACCTCCAGTGATGATTCCTCAGACGGCCACTAGAAGTGCTTCCAAGTTTCCAAGGTTTTAGAACTCTAGCGTCAGGAACACATGATTGTGTTCCTGACACTATAGTGCCCCTTTAAGACTGATTTGTCATAGTTTCAGTTTATTTACATAACATCCTAATCAAGGATGGTTCGTATGAGACATAAAAGGGAACTGTCACGTTACAGGATTTTTAAATAATATATTTTCTTACTTATTCCCTATACCTTATTTAAAAACGATATACTTTGTGTGTGAAAAATAGCATTAAATGTAACAAGCAACACATCCTTATCCTGAAACTGGGCGTTGCAGAGGCAAGATCTATACACCAAAACTGCTTTATTAAGCTAAAGTTGTTTTTTGTGACTATAGTGTCCCTTTAAGACACATGTTCTGCATTGCACCTCCCAAATAAATGTTTTTGCTAATCTCTTTATTGAACATATAAGGTTTCAGAGTTGTTTGCGCAATATCAGTGCATTATCTTCGACTGAGATACTGTGCTTTGTAATAATTTTTTATATGCTCAAGATTTTGGACTGCCAGTTTCCTGTTTGTCACTGTCACAACATATTCTGTTTTTTGATCCACGCTGTTGGATATAAATCACTTGGTCATCTATTTTAGCTTAAGAAAAGCTTGCCAAGCATCAAAAACTGTAGCAGCATATCAGAAAGACTGGAAGGCAATGCAGAGATAGCATTTTTATATTGTGCAGCAGAGGGGAAAAAATAAAAACTATAAAAGGGTAATGTTACATAAAACATAATATATATATATACACACACACACACACACACACACACACACACTACATAGCAATATACACACACAAACACACATTACATAGTTTTATATATATCACATTATATAGCATATATATATATAGTTTGATCACATAATTTGAACTATTTGACAAGTAGCAAAGTCTGCATCAAAATTAATTATTGGAATTCGGGCAACTGAGGCTTTAGGGCTGACAGAACAATAGACTTGGGAAAATAGCAGTTCAGCAACATGATACATTGGCATAAGAGACAATGGCATGCTTCAAGATAGTAAATGGGGATCTGGAAGAGACATTAGGAAAAATACTGGAGAAAAAATAAATTAAAAAAAATTCAGATAGGGAAGCAAAAAACTAGCAAAAAGAAAAAAAGATCAAGAGAGAAGGGACACGTGTGGGGGTTTCACTAGATGTTTTACCAAGGCATCCACCCAAAATTGAGAGGTATGGAATCAGGACAGGTAAGCAGGCTCTGAGGAGACCATCACTGGTGACTCTTATAATGTGCGGGCCTATCCACTGAAGGGGAGTGTCAGCCTGACATAAAAAACACCAGAATGGCGGACAGCCTCTTGGCCAAAGGAAGATCAGGAAAACCTCCACTAGTTTTGTGTCTAGCTAAGACTTTGTCACAAGGTTGCTCTCATGAGTCTTTTCCTTTGACACTGTGTGACACTATATTTGAATTATGCACTCAGAAGGCTTCATTAAATAAAAGCTTGTTTGGATAAAACCCTCCAAAAGAATGTGGTTAACGCACCGACATTTTGGAAGGAGTTGGTGGGGAGAAGCAGTGAGACACGAAATTTAAATACTCTGTATAAGCTATGATCAGTAGTACACACAGCCATAAGAAAGTACTGGGAATTTGTACACAGCAAACAAGCAGGGCCTTTCCTTCTTCCTGGTATAGCATGTCAGCTAAATAGATAGTGCCCTGGTGCCCAACCAGCAGTATCTTAGATGCAAACTTTCATTCTTCCAAGGTCAACAAAATGTGTACCATTAAGTTTGTTAATAATGACCACATTGCATGCTTGAAAGCTAGAGAATGATAAATAGGCCATTCCAAGTGAAATACTCTGATACTACTGTATTTTAATAATGACTGAGGACTCGATTTAATATTTTTAGATATACCTTTTAATTTGTAAAAAAAAAAAAAAAAATGTTTTCAATATATTAATTCTTTTGAAAAGTCTATTCAAAAATGTGAAATCATGGCCTTACGAAATAGGGACATTCTTTACCTGGAGTGTCTCTTTTTCTGTAATGCTGTCATACATGTGCTATATTGCACAATTCTTCAAGAAAAACATCCATTACATTGAGGGGTGAATTAGATGACGCTTAATGTTTCATTATGTGCTCTAGATTTTCTCTTAAAGTATCAGCAATTCTTGTGTTTGGTGATTGTGCAGGATACAAAAGAGATGTTATATCTACAAATATGTAATCCTAACAATATAGTGCCCTAGTAACCATTAAGGTGACTGAGACCCCACTGGTTAAATTACATTTTTCCCCCTCACAGTGCTGGTCTCTATTGTGTAGCTCTGTCTCTTTGGCGGAGATCGAGGATCTTGGCCAATTCAATGCTTTCACATAGGAAAGTGTTGGGAGGTTATTGTGCATGCAGAGTAAAATACTGCAAGAATCAGATGGTGTCTGTCACGGCAAGGGTGTATAATTCATTATTGCACTATGGGATATTGTCCTTTATTGTAATTTGTGTAGTGCATAGATGACCTGCCTGCCTGGTAGAGGTAGTATTTTCAATGTCAAAAGGGGTTAATTTGATTGAATGGAAGGTCAGAAGGTTTATAGCCTTAATTCCTCTTTGAAGCCGGGACCCCCATAGAGGTCAGATGACAGAAGGGGTAATGTAAATTGCATAGGAATATGAAAAGGGTCAGATGGGTTACCATTAGTGATGTCCCAAACGGTTCACCACGGACTGTGAACAAATGCGCTGTTTGGTCCGCCCCCTATGTCATCATTGAGTAAACTTTGATCCTGTACCTCACAGTCAGCAGACACATTCCAACCAATCAGCAGCAGACCCTCCTTCCCAGGCCCTCCCACCTCCTGGACAGCATCCATTTTACATTCATTGTGAAGCTATATTCTTAGTGAGCTGTCCAGGAGGTGGAAGGGTCTGGGAGGGAGGGTCTGCTGCTGATTGGCTGGAATGTGTCTGCTGACTGTGAGGTACAGGGTCAAAGTTTACTCAATGATGACGAATAGGGGGCGGACCGAACAGCGCATATATTCGCCATGCACGGCGAACCGTTCGGCGAACCGTTCGGGACATCACTAGTTACCATATGGATGCATCCTGTAATTAATCAATGGCTCTGCAAGGTGTGGGATTCTACACTTGAAAACCTGAATGTCTGGCCCAGCCATATGGCTTGTACCTCTTAACCCCTTAAGGACCAAACTTCTGGAATAAAAGGGAATCATGACATGTCACACGTCATGTGTCCTTAAGGGGTTAATTGAGGAGTTAATCTCTTTGATATGTTAATG